GAGACGCCCTCCGACCCCGAGCTGATGTAACAGTAATTTCTTATGTTTCTTATGCATTTATCTTCTTTTTAGCCGTTTTATTATTAGCTGCTAGCCGTTAGGTTANATTCACCCTCATCATTGTGACAATTAAAATATTAACAACAACATGAACAGAAAAAACTATCACTCCATCAACGTGCAGATGATCTGTAATGCCGACTGCCATATCCTTAATGCTGTGGCCCGCTGGCCAGGAGGCACCCACAACGCACATATTAGTGAATGAGGCCCATTGACATGCTGTTACGTTTATTTTTTATACTGTATACAGATAGCCTACATATAAATATAGTGTATGACACACTAACCCTGGATTTGTGAAACATTGTACATTGATTTGTGAGACGCCCTCCGACCCCGAGCTGATGTAACAGTAATTTCTTATGTTTCTTATGCATTTATCTTCTTTTTAGCCGTTTTATTATTAGCTGCTAGCCGTTAGGTTAATGCTAACTTAAAAGAAGGCTAATCCGAACCGAGCCGATCTCATAAGAAGGCTAATCCGAACCAAGACGATCTCGTTAAAGGAGCAATAAACGAAATTCATCATTTCTAGATTGAAGAAATTAAAAAATTGCTATGTGAAGAACTAGAGGTGTAATTTCATCTGGAGTATAGCATGACCTCACACACCCTCTCTCTGTGTTGATCTCCAGCCCATTGTTTACAAGCCGGTCCGGCTGCGCATTCATGTACGTTCATGTGAATCCCCCCCCGCCCCCCTTGGCCCTGCCTCCCTATAAAAGGCTACAGCCAGTGAGCAATGGCAGCGCATATTTTCGAAGCAAAATGGCGGAGAGCGGAATGAAACGTTCACCTGAAGACGACCAGGATCCAACATTACCTCTTAAGAAACAATGGTTGTTGGCGAAGAAGTTGTCGGATAAAGAAAGGGACAGAACTCGGATTAACATTGGCCTTGCATTTCCAAGGTGGAGAGCACTGCGAGAGCTAAAGGAGCTACAATCAGACTCAGAGCTAGCTCTTCTTCTCCTGGACAGGTAACATTAAGTAACAACATAAAGTCAAATGTCTGTTTTAATTAGTGTTACAATAACGTTAGCCACATGTCGCTATGTCAATTCAATTAAATTTAATGTTAGAATCGTAGCATGGGTTAATGTCCGGAGCTTGAGTTATTAGCGGCTCGGTCCCAGCAATGGGTCAGGCGTTCCGGTTGTGTTAGGTTAGTAGCCCGGCAGCCAAGCTAACATTTGCAATTAGCATTGTAAAATGTAGCCTGGCGTGCAGCCTGGCGGGCTGTGTTTAGCTATTTCCCTGCCTACTTCAATGATGATGGTACCTGTAATAAATGTAATATATTTGCTGAGATGGAGGCGAGGCTCAGTGACTAGAAGAGCTGGTAGAAGCGCTCCATAGCTGTAACTTACTCAAGTAGCCGTAGTAGCTCTAGTGCTAACTCCAGGAGCTAACGCTAACGTCCCTACTCTTCTCCGTGAGCCTGGCGGGCTCGCGGGCTCACGGCTCCGGTTCACAGAGAAGAGTAGGGATGTTAGCGTGGCAGCCGACTAGTGCTAATGCTAACATGAAAGCAGGGAAATAGCTAAACACAGCAGAGACTGAGAGTGAGTGAAAGACATCGCTAACTGCTAAACTAAGCCAAACTAAGTTGGCTGTTTAGGTTTTATTTCCTCGCCCCTGTGGCAAGTGAATCTGTCTGTAGTAAAACCGGGGCTAACCAGTGCTTCCTCCTCAGGCTCCACTTTACTCAGCTGCCAGCACAGCCAGTTAGCCTCCGCTAGCTTCCCAACTAACGTTAGCCCCGGCTCTCCGTTTGGATCCAACCGGAGCACCGAGCCCTGGTTTGTCATTCAGGTTAATGTGGGAAGAAGCAGCGGGTATATCAGGCAGCTGAGTGAAGTGGAGCCTGCAGAAGAAACACCGGAACCATCTGGATGTAGTAGTCCGTGGAGATGCTGCGGTTCTTGGCTGCACAGACAAGGCGAGTGGGGTGGGGGGTGGAGAGAAGAGGTAGAGGGAGGTGTGGCTCATGACACACTTTGTTTTGGTCTACAGGCAGTGCACAACAGCAAACCTAGCAGTGAAACGATTTTGCTTTTTGCCCCTTTAATGTTTGCCGCTTGTCAGGTTAATGTTTTAATACTTCATTCAGCATACAGCTGAAGAGAAAACTTTCGATTTATTATTTTTATTTCTCTCCTCAAACTCTCTAACATTACAACCATTTCCTCAAACTTCCAGCCACAACCATGGCTACAACCAATCAGGATTTGTGACTGCCATAAAGCCAATCATAATGAGTGACGTCATCAGTTAGCGCGGGACCCCAGACAAATCTGGCAGCCCGGACACATTCGGTACTTACACCGGCGCCCCATGTACAGAGGCATTGCCTTGCTGCAGCGGCCGCAGGTTCGAATCTGTCTTGCAGCCCTTTGCTGAATGTCAGTCCCCACTCTCTCTCTGTCTCCCCATTTCACGCTCTGTCCTGTCATTAAAGGCAAAAAGTCCACAAAAATAATCTTTAAAAAAAAGATTCACAATGTGTTAAAACTGAGGACCGACTTTGGCCTGTTAGTGGAGTTTGATGGACACAGCACAGCAGGTAACTCGTCTTCACCTCATTAAACAAGTCTAACAGAATTAGCAGTAGTCCTGGAGTCTGTAGGATCCTTAACAAATCCTTAAACCACAAGTTATCATCCCATCCCATGTCAATAAATGAGTCATTATTGAAATTGTATTGTAGATGTTGTTCCTACAGAGATCACTCTACCACGCATATATAAAAGGAAAAAGGGAGGTCTGTGTGGGAACTTTGACGGTCAAAAGCAGAATGACTTGACGAAGCCAGATGGTACCCGTGCCAGGAGCATTCAAGAGTTTGGAGAGAGCTGGAGAGTGTGACTATGTGACAAATGTAAGAATGAGACACGACACTTAAAGGGAAATTTCGGTTTATTTCAACCTGTCTCCTATCGTCCTAAATTTGTTTCAAGTGACTAGTGACATAAAAATAATAGCTAGCATGTTAGCCGTTAGCCTAGATATAGCCGGGGCGCATAGTAGCATCAGACCTGTTAAAACCTAAGTGAAAGGGCACACTTCAAGTGCAAAGTTAGTCCACTAAACAAGCTTTTTTTTCCACAAAGACCGCCTCATATCGTTAGGATAAATGTCAGAGAACATATAGAAAACAACATGTAAATGTGTTGTCTTACCTTACCGGTGCGCTGCCATGTTTGTTTACCATTTAGCCCTGCTTTCCAAAGCGCAGCCTAAATATATCTCGTGAGCTCTAGATAAAGCCCAGCTGGATACTACTTCAGGTGAAGGTGTCTCATCCTCGGTCACATCCAGACCTTGAAAATAAGGCTGCAACCGGTTCCATTCCTTGCAACAGAGGCATTCCTCTTCTGTGGGCACTGGGGCACAGCATTCACAGGTACACCACCAATCTCCAGAGCTACGCAGCCTTCCAGCAGCCATTCCTCCTCTCTCGTCCTCTACCTGTTGCGCCTCTCTCTCTCTCCTCCTCCGTTCTTCAATTTCATGAAGCTCTTCGTCAGTGTATTCTGGCTCAAATAAATAAGGGCGGCCATCAAACTCTGCAAAATCAAATTCCTCCTCCACAAAGTCGAAGTCTGGCAAAAACTCAGCCATTACTCTATAAATCTTTCATAAAATAAATGAATGAACTTTTCAGGCTACTGTCCGGTTCTGCCTTCCAGCTGTTGCTGCTCATTCTCGCGAGATTTCACGCACAGTATGAGATCGCTGCTTGTTCTCGCGATATTTCGGCTGTGCTTTGGAAAGCAGAGCTAAATGGTAAACAAACATGGCACCACACCGTTAAGGTAAGACAACACATTTACATGTTGTTTTCTATATGTTCTCTGATGTTTATCCTAACGATATGAGGTGGTCTTTGTGGAAAAAAAGCTTGTTTAGTGGACTAACTTTGCACTTGAAGTATGCCCGTTCACTTACGTTTTGACAGGTCTGATGCTACTATGCGCCCCAGCTGTATCTAGGCTAACGGCTAACATGCTAACTATTATTTTTATGTCACTAGTCACTTGAAACAAATTTAGGACGATAGGAGACAGGTTGAAATAATCCGAAATTTCCCTTTAAAATACCCTGTGGGAGTTTTAATCACTAGTAGAAACATCACTGTAGAAGTTTACAAGAAAACTTCTCACTGATATTATATTTCACCGTACATGACAAAAACAGACAGAATGAAAGTTCTTTTTTTTTTCTTTTCCTGAAACTAAGCTGCCAAACATGATGTGGCAAAGCATGACCCATGTGAATGAAGATTTCTGTAAGTACAGCTCTTCAGGACGGTGACAACTGTTTTGCTGTTACAGTATACACAAAGCATATCATCAAGACTACTACTGCACCCACTTTATTCAGGGATTTTGCATTGTTTCAAAAATCTGATGTCCAGCTTTCAAGTCTATTTTTTAAAAGTCCATTTTTTAAAAAGATATCTTTGAACTTTGAATTGCCAATCATACTATTTATTCAAATATGATGTTCTTATTGCTGCGTGTATACTGTATAAAAAACTACAAATGGATTATTTTTCACTCTCGGATACTGTTGGAAAGAAACTCTGTGTGCAATAAATGATTACATAAAATGTTGCTTGCACTTGGTCATAATTTGTATTTGAATGTCAGCGCTTTGTTAGGTTTTCAATAAAGTCTTCACTGTTGTAATAAACATGCACTGTGATTACGTTTGTGTCGCCGTTAGTCTAGTCATTCTAGTCTCAAGTGTAGCTCCAACATTCCTGACATTTCTACACTCTGACTTTGTTCTAAATCATTACAGAAAAAAAAAAATCATTACAGAACTTCCGTAACATGAGTTTACTCTGAGAAGATAAGGTAGCTGTTTTCCTCTAGCATACAAAAGGATCATTCTTGTCAGGAGTGTACATCTATGAGTGAGCCTTACACTCAGCAGCCTCTCAGAGTCATGCATTGGTCTGCACTGTACGTCTTTCTCCTGCTGGGATTGCTGCCTTGCTATGATGGTGAGTTGCGCATTATCACATTTAATACTGCATGGTTTAATTAAGTAAAGTCATGGCACAGTCATCTCATAATACAAAATTATCTCATAGACAGTTCAGGATACACAGTTAAAGTTATGCAACCAGTGAGCTGTGTTTAACTGATCTTTGACCTGACTGTAAAAATCTGATCTATTGCCAAATGATTAAATAGTTCAAATACGACATGACTGAGAAAATTATTACAAAAAATAATGGTAAATAATTCAGTGTGCCTCACTTTAAATATAAAAACACCTCCTGCTGAATCAGGCTAAGTTTATTTTTAGCTGAGTCATTAACTCAGTTTATAGGTCATAAGCAGTAAAAGTAGTAGGTAAACAGCATCCACCTGTTATCATATTATATGTCTGTGAGAGGTCATTTATCAGTGCTAATTGTACTGACCTCAATGTGAAAAATACCCTCATAAATAAGCATGAGGAACAAATTACTAATTCAGAAATTATGTTAAATTATGTAAAGGTTTGATTAGCACCCGCAATGTTTTAAGATAGAAATCTGATAAAGACTCTTTTGTACTGAAGCTGCTGATAATATTTTGCACATTTTCAATATCTTTAAATCTGACCATAGTCAGTATTCACTGTTATTTCAGAGAGCTGTTTTCTGGTTGGAGTGGAAAATCCTCTAGGGCAGTATTTTACATGAAGTATCTGGTCATTGTTTGAATTGCTCCTGAAACCTCTCAGCCTTCGCATGTGCATTGACATTACGTGTGCAAAGTCATCTAGAGGGCCGGGTTGGACATTAGGCAGGCCGGTTCGGGCCCTCAGGCCGTACGTTTGACACCCCTGCCTTAGATGTTACTTGACGTTACCAAATTTTATTTTCCTTCAAGGATCTCCTACTGTAGAGGAACTGGCTAGATATTCCTGAGCTGCAGAGCTTTTGTGGCATTTCACCAGCTCATCCACAACTTTTCACTCGGACTAGAAAACATGACCACATCACAGCAATCCTGGCTTCCCTACATTGGGTACCTAATTGATTGATTGCTTTTAAGATTTTATTGGATTACTTACAAAGCCCTGAGCGGCCTTGCTCGAAGTTACATAACAGATCTTTTATTGCCCTATGTTCCGTCTCATACCGTGAAATCAGACACATCTTTTCTTGTTGTTCCGAGGTCTAGATTAATTCACAAAGGCGACAGAGCCTTTGCAGTCAGAGCACCATGACTTTGGAATGACCTGCCTGAGGAGATCAGAGGCCTGTACTGCGAAGCCAGTTCAATTTACCCAGGATATCTTTTTGTTATCTGGTTTGACTAACCCTAACACTGTCCGTGTGGATAACCAGTACTACAAAAGTGGTTATTTACTAGTTCAGTCAACTCTAGGTTTTCCTGTCAAACCAGGCGGGGGTGTTTATTGCGAGTGACATCATCAGAACCGTGAATGAAGTAGGCTACTTCATATCATATGCAATGAAACGGTACCAGAAGTGTCTGGGACTGCCAGACAATAAAATGTCAGTGGCCTGGGATGTAAACGATACTCTGTAATCTTAAAACGGGAAATTTATAAACATTTAAAACACTATCCAAAAATCAGCCAGGTATCACTGAGCTATGGGCCTATGTGAAATTAGTATAAAATATAATTTGCTGTTTAGTTGCATGATGATGAAACTACTCTGAATATGTCACTTAAAGCACGTTGAAGTAATGCCAGACTGTTTCTGCTACAGAAGTAAAGGGTGGCAAAGTAGCCTAGTTAATGACTGATGAGGTCTTTATGACCGAATTGTTGCATTTATGATAACGGGAGCCAATTAACAGTGTGTGGATTATTTTACTTATAAAATATGATCTGTTTTATAATAGCTCTCATCACATAGGTGTCTCCTTATTTTGAGCTGCAGTGATGGAATCAGTGTAGAATAGCAGTGGACTAAAAAAAAAATTTTTTCGCATTATGTCCACAAGAGGGCAAACTAATACAAGGAAACATACTTGTATATGTATTAATACAAGGAAACATAACTACCTGTAGATATTTTTATTTCAACATAAACATCTTTGAAAACATTTACATACCTACACATTAAAACACAAAACAATTATCTATAACATTACGTTATAAATGACCCCAGACCTCTCGCTCGCCCCCCCTCTCTGACCCATGGCCACACCGCCCATGTTAACTGATTGTGTCATCCACACCGGCTGCACCACGCCGCGCAGCTCCGTTTCGGCGTCTGGTCTATTTTCTGCGCAAGCCGCAAGCGAATGTGTCAAGCCGTGGGGTGACGGAGACAACAGCTGGGAGCAGAACCTCTTGTCGACCAGCAGCACTTCCGCGGGCTGTGTGGCCCTGGCGTTTATGCAGTGCGTTCAGTGCACACTCGCAAAGAGGACAGCTGCAGTGGTGTTTTTTTCCTCCACAATCGAATAGCAATTTTCACATTCAAAGGTCCATTATTTTTTTCAAATTCGAATTTAAATTCAAATTTAGAACATTCGTTGACAGCCCTATTATCCATAGATACTTTTTCTTCAGTGATCTGATTGGTCAGAGGTCGGGGTGTTGAGAGGCTGTGATCCGATACTCTGAAGGTAACCTGCTCCGTAAGCAGGTTAGCTGTTCAGCATTAGTTGCCAAGGTGATTTATCCCGGTAAAATGAGAACCAGCTTCATAGTTCTGAAAACCTCGGGTTAAATCACTGTGATTTTAACTGTTTTCTTATTGAGTATTTTACACTGTTATGTGTATTCTGTTTTTCATTGCTTTTATCTTGTTTTATTTACTTTGCCTTTTGGCACTTTGTAACTTTGTTTTGAAAAGTGCTTTATAAATAATGTTTTTATTATTATCATTATTATCATTATCATCATTATTATTATTATTATTATCATCTTGGTTTTGAGAAATTTGCATTGCACTTATGACAAATGGCCAGTGGGTGGCAGTAGGTGGCACGACGCACTGAGGTCCAACTATAGCATCGAACCCCAGGCATATACAAGCAGATGGTTTTTGAATAGCTGTGACCACTATGTGTAAGAGGTTTTATATGCTGTTTTTTCCTGCATTCCCATGAAATGACATGTCAATGTCTTTTTTCATTTTCTAGCTCAAACAGGACCAACAGGTAACATCCACAACACCACCTCATACACTGTACTCCCTGCTCCCATTCCTCCAGTGCAACATACTCAGCCTCCTTCCACCTCAACCCCACTATGATCTGCAACATCCCTTCTATGTTTCCAAGCTTCATCCACCCTAAATCTATCAAACATTTTCACCTCTCTCATTCTGACTTGGAGTGTTCCTTTCCAGCCTTTCCCTGGGCACTAACAGCTCTGCCATGCAGCCACAAAATATCTCACAGGCCCCTCAATCTAGAGACTCTTAGCTACAACCATTATATCTACAGTACTTGCTGCAGCACAACCTGTGCCCATGATCATCCACTCAGACAATCGTGATTTTGTGAGACACCAGAGTGATGTTGAAATAACGTGGTGAAATTACAGTTATTGTTTACAGCCGTGCTGTGTGTGCTGCAGGCTGCGCAGGTCCACCCGTGCTGTGTTGCTCCGGTCAAAACTCCAACTGTTTCAGAGGGTGTTATTGTGATGAGGCCTGCGTGGTTTTCAATGACTGCTGTCCTGACTACAGGTCAACCTGCACGCAACGTAAGTGAGGGTGAGCCAAACAATAGAAGGTTTCACTGTTAGTTTAGGATTTAAGACTGAGATGAGTTTTAAGACTGATACTGCAAATCTTTCTTTCCAACTGCAGTTTTGACCACTGGGCAGCCAAGCACACCAAGCACAACAAGCAGCAGTGCTACACCTACACCTGCAAATGACATCGCAACTACATCATCCACAGCCTTTTCTGCAACATCTGCACTATTGAATGTGAGCACAACTTCGGCCTTCCTTGTGTCTGCTATGACAGCAACCAGCCAAACGAGCAGCAGTGCATCTACACCGGCAGATATCAACACAACTTTATCAGTTTTTGTGACGACAGCACCCAGCACAGCAAACAATACCACCACTACGCCAGCAAATATTACAACCTCAGCATCCACTGTCTCTGGCACTACAGCACCCAGCACAACAAACAATACCACCACTACACTAGAAAATATTACAACCTTAGCATCCACTGTCTCTGGCACTACAGCACCCAGCACAACAGGCAGCACTGCAGCATCTGCACCTGCAGAATTGAGTACAACTTCAGCATCTACAGCCTCTGACACAACAACCAGTAGCATTTCTACACCAGCAGATGTCAGCACAACATCATCTACAGAATCTACCTCTCCAGGACCCAGCACACCAAACAGCAGCACTACCAGCACAACTTTAGCACCCACAGCATCTGCCACAACACCACTAAGCACCAGCCTGAGCAGTATATCTGCAGCGACAGATGTGCCTCCATCTTCGTCATTCGCAGTCTCTTCGACAACAGCACCCAGTACAGCAAGCAGCACCACTGCATCATCAGCTGTGAGCACAAACTCAGTGTCCACAGTGTTTGCTACGACAGCAACCAGCCAAAGAAGCAGCAGCACTACATCTACACCACTAGATGGCGTCACAACTTCAGCATCCCCAGGCTCCACAGTGACAGGTTGCTCATTATGATCTCTGCTGAAGCCATTTCAAACATTCACATTTGAAGAAATACATTTATTTTTTATGTTACTGCTAAAAAATATTGGCAAATGTTTGTTAAATTGCTGCTCACTAACAGATTCCTTGTCCTCATAGCAGGTACAACACTGACAGAAACCAGTACAACTCTGCATACCAGTAGTGTCACATCTTCACCAGCAGGTGGCAGCACATCTGGAGTCTCCACCAAAAACACTGATTCCTCCACCAGCTCAGCTTCAGGTACAGTCAGTCACATGGATCTCTGTGCTTCAGTTATGTAGTTAATAGTTTGAAATACATTTGTATTTGCAACTATCTTTCTACAGATGCCCAAACAGTGACAGTTCGCCTAAAATTTGTTGTTTTATCCCATCATGAGGAAAAAGATGTCATTTTTTAAAGGCTGTATCTAATGTAAGTACAAGCAACTTTCATCACAAAAACAATACTACACACACCTATGTCAGTCACCTAATCAGTGAGTGTCTTCTGTCTCTCACAGTTTATATCCCAGACCCTTCTCCATCAGAGCTGTGAGGGCTGCACTATCACACACATCAAACCCACCTGAGAAATGAGCCATGATTCAGCCAATGGAGGCAACAGTGTGGCTGCAGCTGTACTCCAACAACAGGCTTCACAACTCTCAGAAACAACACAATCGTCTCTTAAAACCGAATAAGCTATTAAAGATGTAATGCAATGATCAGTAAAGCCTTAGGTAATAAACTGATATGACTCCACATAATTATTCAGCACTATCTGTTAAGAGCTGACTATTAGAGCAGGCCGAGCAGCCAGAAACAGGTCGGGGCAGTGCTATTTGGCTAGATGGGGTCTGTAAGTGGTATTCCCTCACTTCAAAGGAGGAGGATGAGCCAAAAGTTTAATTATGCTGGCAGTGGCGGTTCTGGCCCATTTACACCACATGAGCCAGTTAAATTAACTCTGAAGCTAACAATCATTTAAGCAGCGGGATGGTTCAGACGCCGAGTCAGCAGGTCATCCTAATAAAGTGGAAGGTAACACGATGTGTTAACACAAAAGTTAACAAATTCAGATTTGTAGTACCTCTCCAGTGTGGTGCAATACAATAAAAAGGGCTGCAGCCCAGGATTATTTTCATTATTGGTTAATCTGTAGATTATTTTCTCGTTTAGTTGATTGGTAATTTGGTCCAAAAAGCCAAAGGTGACATTCAATACCCAAATATTCTGTTTATTTTCATACAAGACTCTGGAAATATTTAGATTAGAGAAGCTGGAACCACAGATTTTTGGCATTTTGTCCTTTAAAATAATATTCAAAACATTTAATTATCAAAATTGTTGCCAATTAATTCTCTGCCGATCAACTAATCACTTGCAGCTTTAGGACAAATCACAAATATTTAGGATGATATTTAACGTTAGACAGCAGATTTAAAATAATACTAATATCAGATATATATGATTTACACGTTTTACTTTTTAGCATACAAAATTATACTATAAACCTTATACTCTGACAAAGGTTCGTATCACAACTGATTATTAAAAACACTGACTACTTAAAAAGCTTATGTTCACATTAAAGGTCCAGTGTGTAGGATTTAGAGCGATATATGAAATGGAATATAATATTCATAACTATGTTTTCTTTAGTGTGTAATCACCTGAAAGTAAAAAGCATTGTGTTTTCTTTTAAGGTTGTGCAGTTAATCATCTGGTGATCGTGTTTACGATTTTTCAAACGATTTCAAAATTAATGAAATCTAGTTTAATTTTCCATCACAAATGCCTGGCAATTTTATTTTGTCATCAACAAAATATCAAAATATCAACAACCACTGCCAGTTACAACTCCCACACTTCGATGGTCGACTGTGACAGGCCCTAACATCACACTAAAAGTGCTGAGAACTTCTTAGATTATCAGAGAGTTTATTTAAAAAGATTGTTTACAACTGTATTACCGACCTAGACCGAACTGCCTGCCGCTGCCATCTTGGAAAGTCAATACAAGTCAATTGACAAGCGTGATGTCACGTGATCTGAATCTGTGGAAGGTCTCCAGGTTGTCCTTTTTCATGTTCTTCCCACCAGGATAAGCACACTCATTAACCATTTTGTCTGTCTGTGATGATCCGTCCACTCGTCGCTCACCTGTCGCTCGCACAAACTCTCATCCAATCTTGTTCGAGTTCGTCGATCAACTTCCAAGACAGCGGCAATGGTATGTTGAATTTTGGGCAATAAATAATAAATACAGCATGTTTTCAAAGTCAAAACATAATCGTTTGCATAATCGTGATTTCAATTTTGACCAAAATAATTGTGATTATGATTTTTGCCATAATCGAGCAGCCCTATTTTCTTTACCTTAGAATGAGCTGTTTATATCTACTTATGAAGCATTTCTTCTTCCTCTGAGTTGGCCATGTTTTTTCAACATTATCCCCGAATGGACAAACCAATGACTGTATAAGATAAACAACGTGTCTCCACTTCCTCCCAAGCACTAAAGTGAAGCCAACATATCCTAGATACGACCACTGCCAACTTGTGCTTGCACTTGCACGATGGCTGCATTGATTAACATTGTGACGCATTCAAGCTCTATTCAGTAAAAATTAGTTTTGGGCGAAGATGAATTATAATGTTCTAATGGTGTGTTCAATGTAACCTTGTAAAATGTAGCTTTTCGCAAGAAACTTGAATAATCCAGCTGTTTGAAGGAGAAATGTGTCGATGTTTTCACAGTGATATAAAATGGATATTAAAGAGGGAACTATGATGAATCAATGTAATTTTAAAGGTTGTTTCATAAATGTGTATTATTGAAATTGCACTCATTCAAAGGTAGTGTACTGACGGTCTGAATGACTTTAAACCTGTTCATTTATTTCTTTATAGTGTAGATTTCTGTGTTTCCCTGCCACAACAGAAGAATAAAGGTATTGGCTAGTGGCAAAATTGTTATTTTAAACATTTGTATCAGTATCAGTCCACCATTTTAAAATCAGTGTAGTTTGTACATTTTATTATTTTACAATGTCATATTATTTTATTGTTTATTCTTCTGAACTAGTTAATTTGTAATTTTCAAATGATTATTGATTTATATGATTATAACACATGTACAAATTGTTACTGAAAGCAAATTAGCAAATATTTGTATCAGTGTTTTTCATGTTAGCTAGGTTGTTTCATTGCATTTCGGTAATAAAAGTGCAATACTTTGACGCCCCGTTTCCACTTACTGGTGTCCATAGATCCGTAAATATACAGATGATGTCTCTAGTGTCCAACGCAAGAAAGTGCATTTCTTTACATGGGTAGAAACCTGGTAGAAACTACGTGAAGCTCTGGGAGAGAGGCTAATTTTGTCCGTTTGTCACCATCCTGTCATTGGGACAAAAACAGGACCAATATTGCATGGCAACAAATAAATGAATATGTTGGGTCTGCCAGGTATGCAGCATGTTTTGTGAAATATTTCATTAAAAGACGTACGGACGGCTGAACGAGTCATTATGATGATCTGACTGTTTATATCATACAACCAGATTTTAGTAGAATAGCATTAATCAGATTCACAATGTGTTAAAACAAGATAAACAAATTGTTTTTAATCATACAAACTCACCTGACAATCAACACAGGCAACTGAATTGAAGAAAACATCCTGTTAGCCAGTTAGCAGACTGTTAGCACTGGTAGCTCATCTAGGGCACCAAATGTGCTAGGGGCCTAGGGCAGCCACTGCTTATGTCTCATTTTACAGCACAGCACAAACCAAGGATGAGTCAATTCCTAGAGGCAACTATAGCAGACCTTTAGGACAGACTCCTTCACAAATCAGTGAGTGAACAACAAACAATGCAAAATTTGGGAATTACCAAATTATTAAAGTCTCAACTATTTGTGCAGAGAGCAGCAATGAAACAGCAGTTTCATTAGCAGCCAACCATGACTCAGTACAAAATAAAACCACCACAACATCAGCAACAACAACAGCTTCAGAGTCCAACAATGTGAAGTTGACTAAAACCAGGCTACATAAAGAAATTAAACGCCAGAAAGCCACAAAGAGACATTTAAAATCCAGGTTACAGACTCTAGCAAGCCAAAAGACAGACCGAGTATAAATGTGACTTACTTTAATTGACGTCCAGGTCATTTGTCCTCTCTGTCATGGAGGTCAGGTGGTCAGTATCCAGGTATGGTCTCACCGCACGTGCTGCTGTGATGCTCATTGAAAAAGTTTGTTGAAATAACTCCTCATTTCTTCTCTCCATCGTTGCTACCTCGGCTAACTAACTAGAATAACATTTAAAACACTTAAAACAAGCTAACTTTGTTTAATTGGCAGGTAAATAACGTTACCTTTGCTTCTTTCTGTTTTTTTTTTTTTAATGTCGCGAGGCCACGGTGCGACTTGTGTCACAGCTCACTTTAATCTCTTCACCGGAAATGCGTCTGTTGTGTCGCAGTCACTGAGTTACATTACAGTAGTTTACTTTAAAGTAATATAACTTCATCTTCTCTCTCCGTGTTGACTCCACCTTGGCCTCGACTGTAAGGGTGCAGTTTCACTAACCGGCCACTACAGCTACCGTGGCGCTGTGTCACCCCTTTGGGAGAATTACTATCCTCCATTAGAAAATGCCACTGCCACTTCTGCTGAGCTTTGGCTCTAATCAGGACTCATTTAAGAGTGGGTTTCATTTTGTTTGACTCAAAAACATTATTTGTGTGTATTAGACATAGATATTAACATTGTGTCAGTGTCATGCATGCTATTTATTCAAAGGTGATACTCTTTAGCTGTGTATAAATGTCACCATGTGCGCTGATTACATGGGCGCTTCGGCATACCCACGACATTATGACTCCAAATGGACTATCTGATAATGCTGGTAGAAAAAAATGTAATGCTCAATACTCAAATGTTGCTGACATTTTGGCACAGTGACCTGCCTGGGATGAAACCTATCCGTCCATTAAGTAATGAACATTGGCCCTGGCCCCTAATAAACTGGTAGTAGTGGAACTTTAGCTCAGGCCCATGGTTTTCCAAAAGAACTAGCTTCCTATCTTCCAGGACCACATGACCAGTCCTCTGTGCCACATCCCGGCTGACATGCACTGGAGATGCCATTGGAGGTGTGTCTGGATCTTGAAACACTCCAGCAGGACAGGCTGTCTCCAGACAGGCCTCCTCCATTTCTCCTGACAGTGGTCCATTTGTTGTGTTTAAAATCTTTGGATCTGTTTCTTTGAGAGTCCCATCATCTCTCAAACAACTAGAACAAATACTTTGCTCCTCCATCTGTCTTTTATTCAAACCATCAGCAGGTGTTTTGTCTTCTAGTCCAGTTCTAGCTCAATCTACTCTTCTTCATAGCAGCTCCTCCGTTCACACAGGCCCTGTTTAGACGACAACGGTTTCTCTAAAAACGGAAAAGTCTGTCCTTTGCATTTTAAAAAACTTCTACGTTTATATATGATGACGTTATTGAAACGATCCTCATTCACACGGAGCCACAAAATCTACTGGAAACGCTGTAGTATGCACACCAGGCCAATGGGTGGCAGTGTAAATTTGCAAAGCAACACCATGGCATGACGCCATGCGCCTGCGCTGAAGCGCCTTCCTCTACAATGTGGTGATTACAAACCAAAACAAAGAAGACACAATGGCGAAAGCATGCACAGCTAACTTTGTCTGGATGGACGACGAGGTGGAGTTGCTACAGTAACAGATCTACACTTCACTTCAAATCAACAGGGTGAGCAGCACAAACAGAGCTCTGCATTGTTGTTGTGACAGTCGACTTTCTCGCGCATGTCTAGTGACTGGAACCGTAATGCGCATGTGCGAAAAGTCTCCGTTTTCAGAGGAACTGCATATTGCAAGTTTACATGACAATGGAGATGCTGCCGTTTCCGAAAAATTGCACTCTGGAAACCGTTTTCAAAACGTTGCATTTTCAGGCACCCAAAACACCGCTGTCGTGTAAACGATCGGCCAAAACGCAACTAAAGTTTACCGTTTTCAGTTGAAATCGTTGTCATATAAACGGGCCCACAGTCTGCTGCTGTCATCAGAGTAAGCGCTGCAAACAAACTCCACATCAGCAGCTAAGCTTCTTACAGTCTCCACTGTGGCCAGTCGAAATCAAACCTACGCCCTTGTCTACAAGTTGTTGGTATATCTTGTTATCTATCAGTGAAACAGGGTAAAAAAACGCCATAAAAAGAAAATATCTGAAAACTCCAACAACAACAACATATTTTACTTATTTTGGCAGACAGTAGGATCAGTCTTGTCGGGTGCATGAGTTACTTATGGCCACTTTCACCATTCAGTCATGTTGGTTTGTACTTCCTGCTCTTGACATGTTTGCTGCCTCACACAATGAAGAGTAAAACTTTACTTAATTTATTTATTAATCCCCCTGAGGGGAAATTCAATGTTTTCACTCTTGCTTGTCAATTACACACAGGTCCGAAAGACACACACATGCACAAACAGGACCTATACATGCACAAAGTGGAGATATGTCAGAGTGAGGGGCCTGCCCCTTGGTGATGCGCCCCGAGCAGTTGGGCGGTTCAGTGCCTTGCTCAAGGGCACCTCAGCAGTGCCCAGGAGGTGAACTGGCACCTTTCCAGCCACCAGTCCACGCTCCATATTTTTGGTCCGGACGGGGACTCGAACAGGCGACCCTCCGGTTCCCAACCCAAGTCCCTATGGACTGAGCTACTGCCCATAACTCTGAACACTTGAATAAATATGTTTGTATTAAAGAATTAGTGTCATGGTGTGCTGACTTGTTTTTAATGATATACAAAGCCAGTCGGTGACTGATATACAGCTTTAACTTACAATATTTTGTGGCTACTTTATCAAGCCACCCACTGACCCTTGTGTCTCCTCCTTGGTCCATGCTTACCACTACATAGTGTGAGATCTTGCTGAACACACAGCAGGACACACAGTATGTTTTTATGAATGATCTGTCCTGATGATGGTCTAGACATAACGTGAACCACCCACCTCATCATTAGCATTCAGGGTCAGTCAGTTTAAAGAAATATCTGTGTGGTACAACCCCTACATCATGACTACAGTTTTACTGCACTGCCAAATTGATCTAGTGTAACAATAAAGCAGTATGACTTTTACACCAGTAGATGGCAGCAAAACCACAGCACCAATGTCCCCTCCACTCCAGCACCTTACACTAAAGTAACACCAAGAGATGACAGCAGGACTCCAACATACACAATGTCTACTATTAATTAAGATTTTCTG